TCACTCAGCCATTCACTCAGCCATTCACTTAGTCATTCACTTAGTCATTCACTCAGCCATTCACTCAGCCATTCACTCAGCCATTCACTCAGCCATTCACTCAGCCATTCACTCAGTCATTCACTCAGCCATTCACTTAGCCATTCACTTAGCCATTCACTTAGTCATTCACTCAGTCATTCACTTAGCCATTCACTTAGCCATTCACTTAGTCATTCACTTAGTCATTTACGTAATCTTTCACTTAGTCATTCACTTAGTCATTCACTTAGTCATTCACTTAGCCATTCACTTAATCATTCACTTAGCCATTGACTCAGCCATTCACTCAGTCATTCACTCAGCCATTCACTCAGTCATTCAGTCATTCACTTAGTCTTTCACTTAGTCATTTACTCAGCCATTCACTCAGCCATTCACCCAGCCATTCACTTAGTCATTCACTTAGCCATTCACTTAGTCATTCACTTTGTCATTCACTCAGCAATTCACTCAGCCATTCACTCAGCCATTTACTGTCATTCACTTAGTCATTCACTTAGTCATTCATTTAATCATTCACGTAGCCATTCACTCAGCCATTCACTCAGCCACTCACTCAGCCATTCACTCAGTCATTCACTTAGTCATTCACTCAGCCATTCACTTAGCCATTCACTTAGCCATTCACTCAGCCATTCACTTAGCCATTCACTTAGTCATTCACTTAGTCATTCACTTAGTCATTCATTTAATCATTCACGTAGCCATTCACTCAGCCATTCACTCAGCCATTCACTCAGTCATTCACTTAGTCATTCACTCAGCCATTCACTTAGCCATTCACTTAGCCATTCACTTAGTCATTCACTCAGTCATTCACTTAGTCATTCACTTAGCCATTCACTTAGCCATTCACTTAGCCATTCACTTAGTCATTCACTTAGTCATTTACGTAATCTTTCACTTAGTCATTCACTTAGTCATTCACTCAGTCATTCACTCAGTCATTCACTTAGTCATTCACTTAGTCATTCACTTAGTCATTCATTTAATCATTCACGTAGCCATTCACTCAGCCATTCACTCAGCCATTCACTCAGCCATTCACTCAGTCATTCACTTAGTCATTCACTCAGCCATTCACTTAGCCATTCACTCAGCCATTCACTCAGTCATTCACTTAGTCATTCACTCAGCCATTCACTTAGCCATTCACTTAGCCATTCACTTAGTCATTCACTTAGTCATTTACGTAATCTTTCACTTAGTCATTCACTTAGTCATTCACTTAGTCATTCACTTAGCCATTCACTTAATCATTCACTTAGCCATTCACTTAGTCATTCACTTAGTCATTTACGTAATCTTTCACTTAGTCATTCACTTAGTCATTCACTCAGTCATTCACTTAGTCATTCACTTAGTCATTCACTTAGTCATTCACTTAGTCATTCATTTAATCATTCACGTAGCCATTCACTCAGCCATTCACTCAGCCATTCACTCAGCCATTCACTCAGTCATTCACTTAGTCATTCACTTAGCCATTCACTCAGCCATTCACTCAGCCATTCACTCAGCCATTCACTCAGTCATTCACTTAGTCATTCACTCAGCCATTCACTTAGCCATTCACTTAGCCATTCACTTAGTCATTCACTCAGTCATTCACTTAGCCATTCACTTAGCCATTCACTTAGTCATTCACTTAGTCATTTACGTAATCTTTCACTTAGTCATTCACTTAGTCATTCACTTAGTCATTCACTTAGTCATTCACTCAGTCATTCACTTAGTCATTCACTTAGTCATTCACTTAGCCGGGCTTGTTCATCGGAGGTGCCTCCCAAACATCCCCAACGATCAGACCCCTCCCCCCCCTCGACCCCCTCCCCCCCCCTCGACCCCCTCCCCCCCTCGACCCCCTCCCCCCCCTCGACCCCCTCCCCCCCCCCTCCCCCCCTCGACCCCCTCCCCCCCCTCGCCCCCCCCCTCCCCCGTTGAATTGTTCAACGTGGGGGCCACGTGCACGACACGCGCGCCACGTTCACCGCCTGTGGCTCGAATGGCGGCTTCAGTCCACCTGCACGTTAAAGACCCCCCCTCCCATCACGCCCAGTGCAGGAGGAGGCCACTGAGTGTGTGTGTGTGTCAAGGCATCAGGGTTACAACATTTCACTCGAAAATTCACAGCGCAAATTACTCAATCACAGCGGCACACGATGGGATGGGGTGGCCCAGCGCCACACCCCGCCGCCTTTGTCTCCCGAGCGGCGATGTTTTTTTTCACTTGAGGCTGAGTCGACTTAGGGGTAGGCCCTGGTCCAGTTCAGATAGTCGTCACTGGTTCTGGCCGTGAGCGGGAATCAAACCTGGACCGCCGGGTTCGTAGCGCAGCGCGCTAACCGCTGCACCACCACTCCCCACAATCTGTATCACGCGCACACGGCAGCGATCGTCGTCCCAGTGCATCAATCTGCCAGCAGACTGATGCCCTGGGACAGCTGCCGCTGGGGGTGCCCCTAGGCGAGACCACACAGCAGCAGACTGATGCCCCAGGCCACTTGAAAATGAGACTCCAGTCCTGGCTTTTGAGTTCCCACCGGCTCAAACGAAGCACAGTCTGTTGTTCTCCTATAACGTGGTGGGAGTGGTCGTGGTTGCGCTCCTAAAGAACACCGCGTTATGGAGAAATCGCGTTATAATAAACAATATATAACTACTATAGGGTAAAGCTCGGTCTGCGATGACGCGTGAGATGCGTAACGCAGCCGAACAAAGACCCGAGGCGCGTGAGTGGCATCTCAGATCATCCAGCAGCATCCCACTGCCCTGTGCCATGCTGTGCCGAGGCAGCCGTCACAGCCGCTTATTCCCTCTCGTCGCTCCGTTCACCGCATTACGCATCAACTCCGCGCCGTGTAAACTCCTCGCGTCACGTGGGAGAACGCACCGCGAGGCGTGACCGTAGCCGTAGCCGGCGTCCTCACGGCCGCCGTGGTCCCGCCCGCCCCCCGCCAGGTGTGGATCCACGCGTACAAGCGCCTGCGCGTGAGGCCCCACGAGCGGCCGCTGCTCATGACGGAGCCGCCGCTCAACCCGACGCGCAACCGCCAGCTCATGGCGGAGGCGGCCTTCGAGGGCCTCGGGGTGCCGGCGCTGCACGTGGCGAGCCAGGGCCTGCTGGCGCTGTACGCCCGCGGCGAGACCACGGGCCTCGTGGTGGACTGCGGCGACGGCGTCACCCACTCGGTGCCCGTGTTCGACGGCTTCGTCCTCTCGCACGCCGTCATGAGGCTCGACCTGGCCGGCAGGGACGTCACGGACCACCTGGCACGCACGCTGCGAGACGGTGAGAGAGGGAGGGAGGGGGAGGGAGAGATGCGGGTGGGTGCGTGGGTTTCAGGGTGGTTGAGCAAGTTGATGCGTGAGTGTGTGGGTGGATTGATGGGTGGGTGAGCGAGCGGATGCGTGAGTGAGTGGGTTCATGGGTGGGTGGATTGATGGGTGGGATGGGTGGGTGAGGGCGGGTGAGCGAGCGGATGCGTGAGTGAGTGCGTGAGCGCGTGGATGGGTGGGATGTGTGGCTGAGACGAGCGACCCTGACAGCGCTCCGTGCGTGTGTCTCTCCGCGTTGCCGCTGGCGGGCGCCGGGCACTGCGGCGGGGCGCAGGCGGCCACGTCTTCATGAGCACGGCGGAGAAGGAGATTGTGCGCGACATGAAGGAGCGCCTCTGCTACGTGGCGCTCGACTGCGCCAGCGAGGCAGCGCGCCCGCGCTCCGACATCGAGGCGCGCTACCGGCTGCCCGACGGCGCCGTGGTGAGCGTCCACGAGCAGCGCTTCCGCGCCCCCGAGGCGCTGTTCCGCCCGGACGCGCTGGGCCTGGAGGCGCTGGGGCTGCACCAGCTCGCCTGGGCCAGCGTCATGCGCTCCGAGATCGACCTGCGGCGCCACCTGTATGGCAACGTGGTGCTGTCGGGGGGCACCACCATGCTGCCCGGTGAGGGCGCACACACGCCCGTGTGTGTGTGTGTGTACGACTGTGTGTGTGTGTACACCTGTGTGTGTGTGTACACCTGTGTGTGTGGGTACACCTGTGTGTGTGTACACCTGTGTGTGTGTGTACACCTGTGTGTGTATGTGTACACCTGTGTGTTTGTACACCTGTGTGTGTGTGTACACCTGTGTGTGTGTGTGTGTGTACACCTGTGTGTGTGTGTACATCTGTGTGTGTGTGTGTACACCTGTGTGTGTGTGTACACCTGTGTGTGTGTGTGTACGCCTGTGTGTGTGTGTAGGACTGTGTGTGTGTGTACACCTGTGTGTGCGTATACACCTGTGTGTGTGTGTACACCTGTGTGTGTCTGTACGACTGTGTGTGTGTGTACACCTTTGTGTGTGTGTGTGTACACCTGTGTGTGTGTGTACACCTGTGTGTGTGTGTAAACCTGTGTGTGTGTACACCTGTGGGTGTGTGTGTGTACACCTGTGTGTGTGTGTGTGTACACCTGTGTGTGTGTACACCTGTGTGTGTGTGTACACCTGTGTGTGTGTACACCTGTGTGTGTGTGTACACCTGTGTGTGTGTGTACACCTGTGTGTGTGTGTACACCTGTGTGTGTGTACACCTGTGGGTGTGTGTGTGTACACCTGTGTGTGTGTGTACACCTGTGTGTGTATACAACTGTGTGTGTGTACGCCCGTGTGTGTGTGTGTACAACTGTGTGTGTGTACACCTGTGTGTGTGTGTGTACACCTGTGTGTGTGTGTGTACACCTGTGTGTGTGTACACCTGTGTGTGTGTGTACACCTGTGTGTGTGTACACCTGTGTGTGTGTGTGTACACCTGTGTGTGTGTGTACACCTGTGTGTGTGTGTACACCTGTGTGTGTGTACGACTGTGTGTGTACGACTGTGTGTGTGTGTGTACAACTGTGTGTGTGTGTGTGTACGACTGTGTGTGTACACCTGTATGTGTGTACGACTGTGTGTGTGTGTGTGTACAACTGTGTGTGTGTCCACCTCATCTGCTCACCCCCCCCCCCCCCCCCCCCCCGTGTCTCTAGGTCTGGACGAGCGTCTCTCGCTGGAGCTGTCCCGTCTGGCGCCGCCGGGCGCCGTTATCAAGACGATGTCCTCCCCCGAGCGCCGCTTCGCCGTCTGGATCGGCGGCTCCATCCTGGCCGGCCTCGCCGCCTTCTCGGCGACCCGCTGGCTGTCGGCCGCCGAGTACCGCGAGGCCGGCCCCTCCGCACTGCTGCGCTACTGTAGCTGAGCGCTGGCTGAGCGGGGGGGGGGACGGGGAGGGGAGCAGGCATTCGACCCGACCCAATTGACCTGACTCACTCACCCACCCAGACCCACTCACCCTGACCCACTCACCCTGACCCACTCACCCACCGTGACCCACTCACCCACCCTGACCCACTCACCCTGTCCCACTCACCCACCCAGACCCACTCACCCTGACCCACTCACTCACCCTGTCCGACTCACCCACCCTGACCCACTCACCCTGTCCCACTCACCCACCCAGACCCACTCACCCTGACCCACTCACTCACCCTGTCCCACTCACCCTGTCCCACTCACCCACCCAGACCCACTCACCCACCCAGACTCACTCACCCTGACCTACTCACCCACACACACTCACTCACCCTGACCCACTCACCCACCCAAACCCACTCACCCTGTCCCACTCACCCTGTCCCACTCACCCAGACCCACCCACCCTGACCCACTCACCCTGACCCACTCACCCACCCTGACCCACCCACCCTGACCCACTCACCCTGACCCACTCACCCACCCAGACCCACTCACCCTGACCCACTCACCCACCCTGTCCCACTCACCCTGACCCACTCACCCACCCTGACCCACTCACCCTGTCCCACTCACCCTGTCCCACTCACCCACACAGACCCACTCACCCTGACCCAATCACCCTGTCCCACTCACCCACCCTGTCCCACTCACCCTGACCCACTCACCCACCCTGACCCACTCACCCTGACCCACTCACCCTGTCCCACTCACCCTGTCCCACCCACCCAGACCCACTCACCCTGTCCCACTCACCCACACAGACCCACTCACCCACCCTGTCCCACTCACCCACACAGACCCACTCACCCTGTCCCACTCACCCTGTCCCACTCACCCACACAGACCCACTCACCCTGACCCAATCACCCTGTCCCACTCACCCACCCTGACCCACTCACCCTGACCCACTCACCCACCCAGACCCACTCACCCTGTCCCACTCACCCACACAGACCCACTCACCCTGACCAGGCCGGACCTGGCCAGTCCACTCGTACACTCCGACCCCGTCCCACGCCTCCCGACGGCATTTTATTTATTTACGCGTTTGTTTGTTGGTTGGTTTACGCGCCCAGGCACCTCGCTTGGCGGTGGACAGTCGTCGTGTTGTAATCTGGCAGGGCATTTGTAATAAAGCTGAATTACACCGATCAGGACAGATTAAGCTGCTGCACTTTCATTAAAAGTGAATGCGTGTGGCAAGGAAGCCAGGCGTGCCGGCCATCATGAACCGGCTTGGAGGTGGGGGCACGTGGGCTGCGGTGATGCCAAGCTCGAGTTGGCATTGTGTGTGTGTGTCTGCGTGTGTCTGTGTGTGTCTGTGTGTGTCTGCGTGTGTCTGTGTGTGTCTGTGTGTGTCTGCGTGTGTCTGCGTGTGTCTGTGTGTCTGCGTGTGTGTGTCTGTGTGTGTCTGTGTGTCTGTGTGTGTCTGCGTGTGTCTGTGTGTCTGCGTGTGTCTGCGTGTGTCTGTGTGTCTGCGTGTGTGTGCGTGTGTGTGTCTGTGTGTCTGCGTGTGTCTGTGCGTGTGTGTCTGCGTGTGTGTGTCTGCGTGTGTGTGTCTGCGTGTGTGTGTCTGCGTGTGTCTGTGTGTGTGTGTCTGCGTGTGTGTGTCTGCGTGTGTGTGTCTGCGTGTGTGTGTCTGTGTGTGTCTGTGTGTCTGTGTGTGTCTGCGTGTGTGTGTGTCTGTGTGTGTGTGTGTCTGTGTGTGTGTGTCTGCGTGTGTTGAACTTCTTTTGCGCCACCGTACCTAGCCGTGTGGGGAGAGGTAGTGTAGCGGTTAGCGCTACGCTGCGCTACGCTGCGCTACGCTGCGCTACGAATCCGGCCACCCGAGTTTGATTCCCACTCACGGCCACCAACACCTGTGACGATTATCTGAACCGGTCCTGGGCCTCCCCTAGGTCGACTCAGCCTCAAATGAGTACCTGGTACGGTGCGTAAACATCGCCACGAGGGAGACAAAGGCGGCCGGGCATGGTTGCTGGCCACCCACCCCCTCGTGTGCCTTGCCAGCCTTCATAGGTGCTCGCTAACAGCACTTGCCCCAACAGTCTGAAGAAGAAGTCCGTGAAGGCTACATGGGGTATCTTTGTTTTACTTCTTTCGCACCACCGTAGTTAGCCAACTGTGCTAATGGGAGATGCCGGGAAAGGACAACAAGCTAAACACAACAACAAGCAGTTTTAAATAAGTTAGTTCGTTAACCTAGATGATGATTTGAAAGTGCACCACAGCTCCAGTAGCTTCCTGACGTCTGGAGGGGAGAGAGCGTTCCAGACGGCCGCAGAAGCAGCGCATCTGAAAGCGCCACGCGACGCGGTGGCTGGTCCCGTGGCGATGGCTCCAGCTCCTGGACGAGATCAGCAGCGAGGTATTGCGGCTGATTTGTGTCCTCACCACAACGTTTTCATTTGGCAACGAGAAAGTTTCATCGCATATCGGAGCAACGTCAATCGAGGACTTCCTGTACACTTATCTGCTACCCGATACGCTACACGATACACTCTGCCATACACTACATTATATACTACACGATACACTCTGCCATACACTACATTATATACTACACTATACACTCTGCCATACACTACATTATATACTACACTATACACTCTGCCATACACTACATGATATACTACACTATACACTCTGCCATACACTACATTATATACTACACTATACACTCTGCCATACACTACATTATATACTACACTATACACTCTGCCATACACTACATGATATACTACACTATACACTCTGCCATACACTACATTATATACTACACTATACACTCTGCCATACACTACATTATATACTACACTATACACTCTGCCATACACTACATGATATACTACACTATACACTCTGCCATACACTACATTATATACTACACTATACACTCTGCCATACACTACATGATATACTACACTATACACTCTGCCATACACTACATGATATACTACACTATACACTCTGCCATACACTACATGATATACCATACACTGCTTGAGATCAGCAAGGTATTGTCCATTTGTTGTGGCAAGCGCTGTGTGTGTAACAAGTGCGACCTTTTAACGGATTGGGGGCCGTCCATAAATGACGTCACGCACCTAGGGGGCGGGGGGTGTCAGACATTTGTGACGATGTGCGACGAGGGGGGGGGGGGGGTTGAGAAGTGACGTCACATCAAAATGCGCAACTTTAAATAAATATAGACACCACGTTCTACTTAATTAGACTTTTTAATAAATGTTTTCTCCTACAACATCAGAGTGCAGCGCTGCATTAAATACGCACTACAATGACAATAGTTGAAAGCGATCTGAAGCATGTTTTAATTTCAAAATGGAAATATGGTTTGGGGGGGGGCAGAGCTTTGTGACGTCATATTTGAGGGGGGGGGGTCTGACTTTGTGACGAGGGGGGGGGGGGTCAAAAATCGTCCCTAATCGCGTGACGTCATTTATGGACGGCCCTTTGCAAGGCGCTGCACAGAGCTAAAAGCAAGTCGGTAAATAACTCACGCTATTCTAAAACAATATCAGCACGCAGGCTCATGATGTAACCACAGATACAAATGCCCCCACACACACTTACAAACAAATGCAGTCAAATTAATCTTGAGAAAAGGCTTTTAAGAAAAAAAAAATCTGAATGCGGGGATTTTACTAAACCGAGGGACTGAGCCAATCAAATGTTTGATGGAAGTGAATTCCACAGCTTGGAAAACTAACTGGCCACGGTTTGTTGCACAGAACTTCAACATTTTGTCAAAATCAATTGAGGGTCCTTATTGGCACGCGTGTTCTGCAACTGCCGACAGTTCACGTGACAAACCCTACCAATTGGCTGTGTCGGGTGGTGGTGGCGGCGGGTTTAACGACGACACATTTATATGCACGCGATATAGCCCCAAATAAAAAAAAAACTTTATTCAATTTTCGATTTAAAGCTTTCGTGACCGCAGGGATTCATATTCTTGGTTCTTTCGGTAAAGCGACGTAGAAGGGAAATAATAAAATAATAAAAATAAAACAATAAAATTATCACGACGTTTCGATTGCAACACAAGCAATCATCATCAGGTGTGAAAACCACGGCAAGAAAATGTAAAAAAATGGAAACGTCGTGAGAATTTAATAGTTTTCTTTTTATTATTTTATTATTTCCCTTTTACGTCACTTTACGGAAATATTCTAGATTTGAAGCTTTCCTGACCGCAAGATTCATACTCTTTGGTTTTTTCGGTAAAGTCACGCAGGTGAAAAATAAAATAAAACAACTAAATTAAATCACGACGTTTTGGGCGCAACACAAGCGTCCGTCATCAGGTGGGAAAGCTTCCCCACCGGATGTTTTCATTTATGTAATTTTTTACCTCCGTGACTTTACCGAAAGAACCAAGAATAGAAACGTTATTGAGTTGATTCACGCGAAGGCGATCCGGCTGCAGTCCGTCCGCACTCAGCCCTGGGCCGGCTCACACGGGGCGACCGTCCCGTCGATCATCACAAAGCCATCGATCGTCGTCCTCACGATCATGGATTAAAGCCCGATGAGTTAAGACGATCTTTTACTTCGTGTCGCCAAGGAGAGAGACTCGAACGAGAGATGCCTATCAAAGCGTTCCCACACGATGCAGAAGCTAACGAAGCCAACATCAATCAGCACAGAAGCAAAGACACCCCCTAATCGCGCGAGGAAGGTGGCCCTGGAGGGGAAACGTCCGGCCGGCAGCCTGGGCATCTTCCGCGCTCTGGTCGGAGCCAGGGTGTGTGGGCTGGAGTTCCGCCACGCGCGGCTGACCCACGCCGTGCCGGCCTTCAAGGAGCAGTGGGCGATGGAGGAGGCCGTGTGCTCGGTGGCAGATGACGGGGAGCTCTGCGTGCTGATATGAGCTACCCGTCGGAGGCCGTCAGACTGCGAGAAGGGCTGCGTGCAGAACGAGAGAGAGCGAGAGAGTGAGCGAGAGAGTGAGCGAGAGGTGGGGGTTTACATAAAGCAAATTTATTTGAAAAAAAATACGAAATGATGAACGAAGCAAAGTGCCGACTACACCGAGCATCTTCTTGTTTCCACTGATCGTAAAAAAAGAGAGAGAAAGAACAAAAACAAGATTGAAAAATTCAAATCGCGTCACGTGGTGAGTTGGGTCAGAACACGTGGTCAGTGCAGCACGTGGCTCGCCGGTCCCGTCTTGAGTGGCTGCTTGAGTGGCCGTCCATAAATGACGTCACGCGATTTTGAGACGATTTTTTACCCCCCTCGTCATACGGCGTCACAAAAAGTCAGACTCCCCCTCAAATATGACGTCACAAAGGTCTGCCCCCCCCCCTCCAAAACCATAGTTCCATCTTGAAAATAAAACATGCTTCAAATCGCTTTAAACTACTGTCATTGTAGTGCGAATTTAATGTGGCGCTGCACTCTGATGTTGTAGGAGAAAACATTTTGATTTAAAGCTTTCGTGACTGCAGGGATTCATAATCTTGGTTCTTTCGGTAAAGTCACGTAGAAGGGAAATAATAAAATAAGAAAAAATAAATAAATTTTATTTTGATTTTATTATGTTTTCTTTTTATTATTTTATGATTTGCCTTCTACGTGACTTTACCGAAAGAACCAAGAAGAGAAAACATGTATATAAAAGTCTATTTAATTAAGTAGAACGTGTTGTCTATATTCGTTTAAAGTTGTGCATTTTTATGTGACGTCACATTTCTCAAACCCCCCCCCCCTCGTCACACATCGTCACAAATGTCTGACCCCCTAGGTGCGTGACGTCATTTATGGACGGCCCCTTGAGTGGCGTCTCTCCCTCGCGTCCGGCGCGGGGCTGGGGGGGTCGAGCGGGCCAGCGGAGCCGGCGGGCGTAGGCGCAGCCCCTGCAAGTGCTTAAACTGGCTCGCTCCACTGCAGCCGGCGAATGAGGCCTCACCCCCGAGAGGGCCTGCCCACTGGGTCACTGTGGGCCTCCGTGCCCACTGGGTCACTGTGGGCCTCCGTGCCCACTGGGTCACTGTGGGCCTCCGTGCCCACTGGGTCACTGTGGGTCTCCGTGCTCACTGGGTCGCTGTGGGCCTCCGTGCCCACTGGGTCACTGTGGGCCTCCGTGCCCACTGGGTCACTGTGGGTCTCCGTGCTCACTGGGT